ACACACACACACACACACACACACACACACACACTGACCTTTTTCTTTCATCAGGTCTTTGCTGTTTTCGGGCTCCACACTTCCTGCGTCTGTGGACAGAAATGAAAACATGAGAACTTGCTGCACTGTGTGTGTGTTCCTACATAACGGACGTTGTGGGGACTTCCATATAAGGTCGACAGCTTCAGGGCGGAGCTGGATTTAAAGTTAGCGTTACGTTAGCCGCCGTGTACGTGATCTGACCCAGCTCTGGTGTGTGTGTTGGAGGAGGAGGTGATGAGGAGGAGGATGAAGATGCTCTGGAAGGTGATTGACTGGTTGGTTCCTGGGGGTGGAGTTCATCATCACTGGGGGAGGGGCAGGGGGAGGGGCTTCCTGTCAGAGACTCCTGAGGACACAGGAGACAATTAACATTAGCATTGTTAGCAACAGCCTGTCCAGCATTATCTATATTGACATTCTCAATGTTAGCGTTAGCATGCTTAGCATTCAAACTTACCATTAGCATCATTACCAGCAAGTTTTCTTGCATTAGCTTTGTTAGCATTCTCAGTGTTAGCATCAGCATTATTTGTGTGAGAATTGCTATCATTAGCACTGTTAGCAGTAGTCTATTTAGCATTACTTCTGTTAGCATTCTCAGTGTTATCATCAGTACAATTGTGATTAAAGCGGTTGTCATTAGCACTGTTAGCATTAGCGCCGATAGCAGGTACCTTGCTGTCTTCTGTATGGACTTGTGACACAACGGCCATATTTGCCAAACCGCTTAGCTGGGTCATCTGGTTCATTGCCATGGCAACGCTGGCAGGAGGCAGGCCAACGGGGAGAAGGGGGTGTGGCATTATCATAAAAGGAAGCTCTGACAGACCTGAGGGGGCGGAGACACAAAGGGAGGAGTGTAAGATACTGACAGGGACTCATTATCCAATCAGAAGACAGCTGTGACTCACGGTTGGCCAATAGCGAGCTGTGTTGCTGCAGAGTGTTGAGGTGCAGCGACGCCGAGCGGGAAGGAGGGGCTGCGACTGACGGGCGAGGAGAGAGGAGGCGCTGCTCCTTCTCCCATGATCCTTCACTGCCTCCTGCCAGGAGACCAGGAGAGGAGATTAGAAGGCAAGGAGACAGAGAGGAGACAAGGAGACAC